CATTCTATATACTTTTTCCTTTTGAGGTACGGAACCCTAAAAAATGTTTTTTTGTATTTTTTAATGTTTATCTGTAGATAATTTCACTCCTTTTCAGGATTGCACTTTATCCAGGATCACACTACGCAAATAAATAATTATTCTATTCTATTCTATTCTATTCTATTCACTGTATTAATTTATTTTGTTACAGGTGCCGTATACTGAAACACATGTTTCCACCGTCAACAAAAGCGGCCTGGTGGCTGGCAACATTTTTCAGTGTTTTCGTAACAGGTATGCTAGTTTACGAATTATCACTACTAAAGTTACCGTTGAAAAATATTGAACACCCAATAGATGGTTTATTTAAAATTCACATTCGTTTTAATTTGAAAGTCTCTTTTTCAATATTTAAGACGTCACTCGAACATTTCCAGCGGGTTATAGTTACCTCCTAATGGAGTGTACTAGTGTTACTCGTGTGCTGTCGATACCAACGGTAGACGATACCAACTCTATGCCTGACGAGATAACAACAGCAGGAGAGCGTGTCATAATTATTCTAAAATAGAAATAATAAACTATGAAAAACTCTATTTTAGGAAGAAATGTTTCCTAATTTAAGAAATGCCTGAGATATCATTATCAAGAACTAGCCTTTAAGGTTATAGGCACCAAAATCAGTGAAAAAAGCCGGCATTTTTGCGGAGTTTTAACTTTTTAGATAAAGTTTCGTTCAGCGCTAGAATCTTGTAATATTCATTAGGCCAACATCATGAAAATTTAGAACTACTGGATTTTTCACAAACTCTGATGTGTAAATTTATTGGACTAAAATTTGAAAGGCTTACGCTCGGAAACTATTTGGATTTACGAAACAATCTGTAGCAAATTTAGTTTACTTTAAAAATGACCCTAGAAGATATTATTAAACACTAGTCCTTTAGAGTTACAATCATCAAAATCTAAAAAAAGCCGATATTTTCACGGTTTAATCAATATCTGATATAGTAGCCTACGGAGCTCGAGGTCACAAACTTGGATTATTCATTAGGCCAGCATCATAAACAAGTATGCCAAAAATCAGAAGTACCGGATTTGACACAAACTCTGAATTATTAATTTCACTAGACTGTTAAACAAATCTCCTTAGAGGACTTAACCATATTTTTATGAAAAACATATTTGAAAAAAAAAATTACCCTATATAAATATATTAATTAAATAATCCAACTAAACAGTTAAAGCTTGCCCGCAGCGGAGATCACAATATTAATTTATTATGAAATTTCTGAAAACGAGTTTTAAGTGGCTTTTCGCTCATAAAGTTTTCTAAATAATAATAAAATTCAAGAGATGCCTGTATTAATATAGGACGAAACTCGATGAAATGTGACTGAAGAAGCATTTCCGTTAAGTGCTAAAATATTTAACAGCGGCTTAATAAAAGATTAATTTAGAATCAAATTAAAATGACCTTCCTGACAGTTTGCAAGAGACTTCACGCTTTAGAGGAAATTGTATCGATATCGGGCTACAGGTTTTAAAAAAATATTTATTATGCTGCTACTTCTACTACTAAAAAAGTTAGAACTCACAAGTCATCATCATCATCATCATGTCAGCCGTATGACGCCCACTGCTGAGCATAGGCCTCCCCCAAGGATCTCCACACCGATCGGTCCTGCGCCACTCGCATCCATCGGCTTCCCGCGACCTTCACAAGATCGTCGGTCCACCTTGTGGGGGGCCTACCCACAGAGCGTCGTCCGGTGCGTGGTCGCCATTCCAGAACCTTTCCGCCCCAACGGCCATCGGTTCTTCTTGCTACGTGTCCCGCCCACTGCCACTTCAGCAGAGCCATCGTTTGAGCGATATCGGTAACTTTGGTTCTCCTACGGATTTCCTCATTTCTGATTCTATCGCGTAGGGAAACACCAAGCATCGCTCTCTCCATTGCTCGCTGCGTGACCTTGAGCCTTCTTATGAGACCCGCAGTAAAGGACCACGTCTCGCTTCCGTAGGTCATCACTGGCAACACACACTGGTCAAAGACTTTTGTCTTGAGACACTGAGGTAATTTGGACGCGAATATTTTTCTACTTGGTATAGTCTACTTGGCACCTTTGGAGAGACTGTAACACCGCCCAGGTCTCAATCGAATCGAAAGCTTTCTCATAGTCCACGAACGCCAAACAAAATGGCAGATTATACTCTTCGGTCTTCTGTATAACCTGCCGCAGCGTATGAATGTGGTCTATGGTACTGAAGCCTTTGCGGAAACCGGCTTGTTCGGGAGGTTGGAAGTCATCAAACCTGCGTGCGAGACGATTCGTAATGACTCTCGAAAACAACTTATAAACATGGCTAAGAAGCGAGATTGGTCGATAGTTTTTCAAGAGTGCTTTGTCACCTTTCTTGAAGAACAGGACAACCCCACTTCTGGCCCATGCTTTTGGCGTTCTGCCTTCAAGGATGATGGAGTTGAAAAGCCTCTGGAGGACTTTAAGTATCGGCTTACCGCCCGCTCTCAGAAGTTCTGCTGTGATTCCATCATCGCCCGCCGCCTTGTTGTTTTTAAGTTGTTTGAGAGCCATACTAATCTCATACAGGCTGATGTCCGGGATATCTTCAGTGTAGTGTCGAGTAAGCTTGGCTCTGGGGTCTCTAGCCTTGCTTTCAACAGGTGCTTGCGTAGAATATAGCTGTCCATAGAAACTCTCAATCTCCCTCAGGATTTCAGCCTTAGACGAAATGATGCTACCGCTGTCAGTCTTCAGCTTTGCCAATTGGCTTTGCCCAATAGACAGATCTCTCGCGAACACTTTGGAGCCTTTGTTGCGCTCAATAGCCTCTTTGATACAATGTGTATTAAATCGGCGAAGATCGCTCGTCAAGGACTGTGATATCTGTCTATTTAGCTGCCGGTACTGACTTGCATCTCCTGAATTCTGTAGTCTCATTTCGTTCCGCTGTTCCATGAGTAGGAGAGTTTTGTCAGAGAGTTTCTTAATTTTGGTACGGTGGGCTTTAAAATACTTGGACCCTACCGTACGGACAGTATCTACCACCGTGTTGTTCAGATCGTCCACATCTAGGCTGTTCTCAAAGGATTCGAAGCGGTTTTGTTGAAAGCTCTCGGGGTTCTGTAGTTGTGCAGGTATTGGTCGGAGCGTCGACTTCATCATTCGAGATCTTTCGAGCTTAATGTTGATATTCAATGTGCCTCGTACCAACCGGTGATCACTTCCCGTTTTAACGGCGTTAATCACAGAGACATCATTGAATATTAGCTTTTTCGTCGACATGATAAAGTCGATCTCGTTTCGGACTTTACCGTCCGGACTCATCCAGGTCCATTTTCGATTTTGGGGTTTCCTGAAGAAGGAGTTCATCATATAGAGGTTCTCCTTCTCCATAAAATCTACTAACATCTGTCCTCTGGCGTTCCGTTGTCCAACTCCAAATTGCCCCACTCTCAACTCATCACCGCAACGCTTCCCCAACCTTGCGTTAAAGTCCCCCATCACAACCGTGTAGTGTGTTTTGTAGCTATGCATGGCTTTAGTGATCTCCTCATACATAGCTTCCACTTCATCATCTGGGTGCGTTGAGGTCGGAGCATAAACCTGTATGACATTCAACGAATATCGTTTTGATATTCTGAGTATCAGGTATGCTACCCTGGTCGATACACTTCCGATGGTGATGACGTTGTGGACAAGGGACTTGTGGACGATAAACCCGACACCGCCTAGGGACTGTTGATCGCCCTCCCGGTAGTATAGCAAGTTACCGGAATTGAGGATTATCGAGTCCTCTCCCTCTCTTCGGACTTCAGATAATCCAATAATATCCCAACGTAACTTACTAATAGCTTCTTCCAACTCTATTAGCTTAGCGTCGGTCCTCAGTGTGCGCGTGTTGTAGGTTGCCAGGTCGAGTCGTCGTAGGTGGTAGCCGGATCTTACCCGGGGATTCTTAGCACCCCTTGCCCCGCCGTTACCATAGCTGCTACCGTGGCTAGGAATAGCAGGGCTGCCGGGGACTGGGGGCCAATCTTTAATTGTGCTACTCATTTCTTGGGGGGGTTTTGCCATAATCGCCACGCTTGGCAGGCGGGTTGGCGATCGCAGTACAGCCAAGATATTGTAACAAGACGCTGCTGCCCGTCTTCTGCTGGCTGTGTTCCCTTAGTCGCCTTTTACGACACCCACGGGACGAGAGGGGTGGTGCTATTCTAGGCCGGCACGCACACGGCGTAAAACAGCTTTAACTTAATTTTTTAAAATAGAATGACGATAAATTATTATTCATGTCGGAAGTGATTGGGACTCAGGTGTGAGATGATTGCAAAAGTCTAAAGGGTATATGTACTTACAATCTACGAGAATGACTTTTATTAAGACGGTTTTTTTTAACTCGACCGTGGCAAAGCCAGAAGTGCTTATGATTTGAGCAGTCTACTTAAGTGATTTTCATGGCACATGAAATTTAACCTAATTTTTAATAGAATAAAATAAATAGGAATGTCTACTTAATATTGGTAGTTTTGTTTTCATGTCATCATAATTACCAGCCTATTAATGTCCTCAACTCTGGGGCACAGGCCTTTCTTATGGATGGAATAGGGAGATGCCGTGCCCGGAGGGGTCATGACATACCACGCGGGTGAAAGCAGATGCAGCCGGGACCAAAAGCTTAACGTGCCTTCCGAAGTCCGAAGGAGCTCGAGATAATAAGTTTATGGTCACCCATCCAATGACCGATCATTTCGAAAGTTGCAGGCCGAACGCGCCCTGTGCCATAGCTTTTCATGTAATTGGATTCATTTCGTAAGAAATTGAACAATAGTAAACGATACGACGTTCTAGCTCACGATACCTACATGGAATGTTGATTTTATGAGTACGCCGCGCCCTCGGGTATACATGCATAAAAAATAATGCCTTGTTTTATTAAAATGCTAACATCTATTCTAGAGTAAAGATTGTAATAATATAATTGTTTTAGGTGAAATGCCGATACAATCTGATATGGAACCGGAATTTCTTCAAGCACTGGAGAATCACACCGTGACACAAGGTCGTGACGTACATTTCACCTGCGTAGTGAATCATCTCTCAAATTACAGGGTAAGCACCCATTTAATTTTGAACTGTATTTTTAGATTTAATATTATAAGAGAACCTCTATGTACGAAAATTGGTAAAAGAAAATTGGCCTGTAATACGATGATACCCTTTTCGAATAATAAAAAACATGTTTATGAAAACTTCAAACGCACTGGTTAAAATGCCGAGACTTTGTGACTAGTAGATTTAAAAAATATATAATCCTTCAAAGATTTTTATAATCACAAATAGTTGTCTAGATATTGGAATACCTGTTTTTACAATTCTGACATTCAAACACAGTTATTTGAGTGTTTCTATTTAAAAAAAAAGGAAAAATAAAACTTCGCTATGAGTCTTTTTGATTAGGTACCGTGTTTTTTTCACATATCCAAAAATAGACACTTAGCTAGAAAAAGATAAACCCTTTTAGTCTTACAAATATTAACACTATAACGACACCTCACACTAGTGGATTAGACGAGTATAAAAAAGAACATCCTATTAAAGTCCCCACTGCTGGGGCCCAGGCCTTCCATAAGGATGGAATATGGAGATTTGGCCGTGACCCACGGCGGATGATAACTACTGCAGATAAAGCCGGGACCAACGACTTAACGTGCTTTCCGAACAATTATCTCCACCGATGACACGGGGCGAGTTACAAGCTACAAGCCAGCGAGTTCGCTAGCAGCTTGTGAACTCGCCCGTGTCATCGACTTTTTTACCATCTGCTATTCAATGATAAGAAGCGAGTTTACAAGCTACTAACGAACTCACTGGCTTGTAGCTTGTAAACTCGCCCCGTGTCATCGAGGCTTAACTTCCACGATCGCAGGCCGAACGCGCTAATCACCTACACCATCTAACTCCTTGTATGTAGGTACTCGTGTATCCATACCAAATCACCCCTTCCTAATACCTACTTAGAAGAGTATAAGAGTCTCTGACCTTTGCTAGGGAAAGACGGACAGTTAAACGGACATGACAAGGAACTATAACGGTTTCTTCTCGTCTCCACTACGTTTTCCTAAATAATCATTCTTAGCACTATAAATATTTATTGGAATTACAAAATCTCGAGCTTACTTTAAATCTCTTTACCTATGTCATTAAGTCCTCCGTAGGTATGGTATATGCTTTCAGTGGTACACATTTCAAACTTTGTATGTATTTCCATAAATTTGCAAACAAAGGACCTCGTGTGTATCTCGCATAAAATAGAATCGGTTTCAGTGATGAAAATTTCTGGTATTGCATAGTTATCGTATGTATATGTTAAACAGGTTTTTATAAATTTTTGACATTAACACAATGCACTACCATAATAAGCTCGAGTTAAGCTTGATATATTGCTCGATGGATGCATAAATTTTGCTCATATATACATACCGGAAAAAATCCTAGGCTGTTTATGGAAACTTATTTTATTAAAAAAATACTTACACAGTAAATATTTTTAAGTGATTTTTTTCATTATATCGTCACAGATTTTTTGTTCATCTATAGCATGCCCATTACATTTTTATTGTTATTAAAATTTTTGGCCTTATCAACGGCCATCGGTGGTTTAGTGCTAGAAAGCTCGCCTGTCACGCGGGCGACCCGGGCTTTTTTTATTTTTTCTTTTATTTTCCCCTTTTTATAAGCCAGAGTAACATCAATCCACTCAAAAAAAAAATTGCGATGTATATAAACAAATAAAATGAAAAGCCTTTTATTTCCTTGGTATAATTTGACAAAAAATACATTTACTTTCTAAATTACTGAATATCTATCTTGTTTACAGTCTAATATTGCTTATCTAAAAGGAGACCCGGCACTTTTCATAGAAAAAATGCTAAACTTGTATACAGTTGAATTTGGTCTCAAAATAAAGCCAAAATTATTTGCTACATAAAACTACTTTTGCCTTATTTTTAGTGAATTGTGGAAAGAAGTTATATAATGATTAATATTTTTTGATATGGAAACCCTAAATCTTTAAGGGACAGAATTTTACTTCAAAATATTACTCAAGTACTGTAAAAACCATGATTCTTTCTTCCTTTTTTCTAAATAAAAAACCAAACGTCAATTTGACAATCCTAAAATACAAACAAAAAAATCATTCGCATGTCACATCCGCTCCCGCGTACTGTGAATGTTCTCTGCACGTTCTCTGCTGTGATTGCCTTTTTATCCGTTATTTCTCTTGACGACCCGGCTACATATAGAGGTTATATTGACAAACCTACGTATTTGACATTGACAGCTAGCTGCTGATGACAAATATTGCCAGACTACGTTACCCAATTATGAAACACAGATAAAAAATTTAAAAAAGTATACAACTTTGGCACAAAATGCCGGGTGTCCTTTATCAACTAATATATTAAGATAAAAGTTACTTATAAATTACTATTGAATAACCGTAAGGAACCAGTCTCAGGTAAAGGCCTCTTCCAAAGATAGCCACTTTTCTCTATCTTGAGCTATACTCTGCCATTGTGGACCTTCTTCTTAGTCGCTATCTTCATTGCTGAAGGTCGTGTCTAACTCGAAATGTTGACCACCTGATGTACTATGCCTCTCCACGCAGTCCTGTCCTCGGCAGTCTTTATAGCCTTGGTTATTGATAGGCCAGTGAACGACTTTACTAGGTCTGACCAGCGGGTAGGCGACCGACCGCGTGATCTTCTCCCGTCGACCTGGCCAACCACCATCAGCTTCTCTAGGCTGTCAGGGTTTCTACGAGCGATGTGTCCGAAATACTTAAGTATGCGCTGGTAACAGATAGTGGACAACCTTGTGGTGATGCCGAGCTCATCAAGTATGGACACGTTGGTTCGCCGTGCAGTCCATGGAATCCTTAGCATCCGCCTCCAACACCACATCTCAAAAGCGTCGATCCTTGCCCTTTCGCTCTATCTTATTGTCCAGCATTCAGCGCCATAAAAGAAGATCGAGAAGACCAACGTGCGCACCAGCCTCACTTTGGTTTTGCGGGATATGTTTCGGTCTTTCCATATCTTAGTGAGTTTAGTCATCGCTGATTTGGACATTTGGATTCTTCTAGATTGTGGACCAGTCACTCGTTTTATGTCATCGGTCCAACGTGCGTGCGTCTTCCCTTGCGTCGTTTGCCCTGAGGGCCTTTCTACTTGGTAACTGTTATGGTCCACCGCTGGTCTTTAAGTCTGGCTACGTGCCCAGCCCACTGCCATTTTAATTTTTGAGCATGATTAAGAGCGTCTAAAACTTTTGTCTTGGATCTTATGTTTGCATGTCTTATTTTTTGAATTTTCTTTAAGTTCAGCATGCAGCGTTCCATTCCCCTCTGGCAAGTAGTTATTTTGTTCTTCACAATATTGTTAAATTTCCAGGTTTGGCACGTGTAAGTCAAGCATGGAATAGGACAAGTGTCCATAACTTTCTTTTTTAACTTTATTGGCATCTCGCTTATAAATACTTCTTTCTGCGATGTTAAACACTTTAATAGTTTCACCTGCATCATGGTTTCATAAAACCACACATTTTTTATTACAATCTATTGGATGATGAAACATGAGTTTAGTTTAATGCTAGAAGATATTACGATTTATTTTGAATGTTTTTCTGCTGTTTTTATAGGTATCTAAAATTATTTTAAAAAAACACCTCACCTTTGATTTTTGATCATTCGAGGTGTTTATGCACCATACATAGCTCACCGCTTAAAAGAGACCGAAAATATCTTAAATATTTGTATAAACTCGTTACCTCATCACACCAGCTATTAAGTTACATCGTGCCTTCCCCGCATAGGTTGCGTAGTTTTCAAGTTGGTCCCAAACTGAAACTTGAATACACAATAACATCTGTTAATCAAAATGATGTTACAAGTAGCGTCATACTAAGTAGAAAGGGTTTGAACATTCCGTACAATTTTAATAGAGGTTATATTTGCCTTTAAAGGGAGATTGTAGATATCATGTCCGTATATACGATATCTCCTTATAGATCGTTTGATAGTTGAAGTTGAGAGTCACAAGTTCGAGAGACTGAAATTTCAAAACAATCCTAGTCACGTACAGTTTTAAGTGACAACCACTTAAAGGACATTGCTTGTTAATTGATATTTTATACAACAAAGCGTTTAAAATTCCGAAAAGCCATCATGAAAAGGTCTTATTAAAACCACTCTTATCAAGTATTTCAGCTATTTAAGGGAAACACGAAACAAAATTAAATCGGAAGACATACCTACCTATATGATACCGCCTTAATACATCAATGATTAATAATGTAGCTAAGCCAATCAGCAGCTATGTCTATTGGTGGATTATAATATGTAATCATGAATCGGGAGCGTAATGAATCAGTTGCCCACTGGGTCAGGTAAATCTATCCGTCCTTTTGATTCCCTAATTTTGAATGGATCGGTCACAGACAAATTTAGGCCTATTCAGTAGGGGCAAGGTTTTGTTCGCGAGTTGCATGCGAGAAATATCTTCGATTACATTCTGTGAAGAAAGAAGATTATTTCTTGTTTTTAGTTGTGATTTTATTACAGCAATTTCTTAATATATTTATTATAAATATTAATTAGCATTTTGGTAGTATCAACAATAGTAATTTCATTTAAAACTTGTTATCCTTCAATTCGAAAAGAAGCAGTTAAAACTAAAACAGCTGTTACGAGGATTCCGGTTTCGTATTTACATTGTACCGACGAAAATAATTCCCACAAACAATGAAATTGTTACTAATTCATTTTGCAACCGCAACAAAGCGGAATGGCGCATGAAAAATGCGAGCGTGCGGACTAGATGGGACTTTGTGCATTCCTCAGGTAGAACTGCGCGATCTTACACAATGGCATTATGAAATTATCCTGTTGCACGGAGACACGTTTTAAAATGCTTTGTTTAATGTTTCCTTGTGGCCGAAACAGACGTTATGGTGGTAAAATAGAATTATTTATAACTCAAAATTGGTAAAGGATCAAAATAAGGTTACTATTCGAAACGCATTTAATCTATCTTATATTTTTTTTCTTT